TCACTCTCTCTCTCTCTCTCTCTCTCTCTCTCTCTCGATCTCTATCTATCTATCTCTCTCTCTCTCACACACACACACAAACTCACTCTCTCTCTCTCTCTCTCTCTCTCTCTCTCTCTCTCTCTCTCGCTCTCTATCTCCCTCTCTTGCACTCTCTCTCTCTATTGCTATCTCTCTCGCTCCATCTCTCTCTATCTCTCTCTCTTGCTTTCCCTCTCTCTTTCTCTATCTCTCTTTCCCTCTCTCTCTCTCTTGCTTTCTCTTCCTCTCTCTCTCTTGCTCTTCCTCTATCTCTCTCATTCTCTCTTTCTCTCTCTCGCTCTCGCTCTTGCTTTTCCTCTCTCTCACTCTCTCTCACTCTCTCTCTCTCTTGCTCTCCCTCCATCTCTCTCATTCTCTCTTTCTCTCTCACTCTTTACTCTCTCTCTATCTCTCTCTTACTCTCTTTCTCTCTCTCTGCTCTCTATTTTTCTTTCTCTCTCTTACTCTCTCTATCTCTTTCTCTCTCTTGCTACCTCTCTCTCTACCTCTCTCTTGTTCTTTCTCTTGCTCCCTCTCTCTCTCTCTCTCTCTCGCTCACTCTCTATCTCTCTTTCCCTCTCTCTCTCTCTCTCTCTCTCTTTATTACTCTCTCTCTCTCTCACGCTCTCTCTTTATCTCTCTTTCTCTCTCTCACTATCTCTTTCTAGCTCCCTCTCTTGCTAGCTCTCTCTCTCTTGCTTGCTCTCACTATCTCTCTCTCTCTCTTTCTACTTCTCTCACTCTCCCTCTTTCTCTCTCTTGCTAGCTCTCTCACTCACTTGCTTGCTCTCTCTCTCTATTGCTAGCTCTCTCTCTCTATCTCTCTTACTCTTGCTCTCTCTCTCTCTCTCTCTCTCTACTTCTCTCTCTTGCACTTGATCTCTCTCTCTCTCCCTATCTCTCTCTCTCCATCTCTCTCTATCTATCTTAATCTCCAAATCTCTCTCTTGCTCTCCCTCTCTCTTGATCTCTCTCTCTCTTACTTTTTCTCTCTCTTTCTCTATCTCTCTCTGTCTCGTGCTCTCCCTCTCTCTTGCTCTCTCTCTCTCCCCCTCTTGCTCTTTATCTCTCTCCCCCTCTTGCTCTCTCTCTCTTCATCTCTCTTTCTCTCTCTCTCCTCTCTCTCTCTCTCTCTCTCTCTCTCTCTCTCTCTTGTTCTCTCTATCCCTATCTCTTACTCTCTCGCTCTCTCTCTCTCTCTCTTTCTCTTTCTTGCTCTCTCTCTCTCCCTCTCTCTCTTTCTCTTGCTTGCTTTCTCTCTCTCTCCCTCTCTCTCTTGCTCTCCCTCCATCTCTCTCTCTCTCTCTCTTACTTTCCCTCTCTCTTTCTCTATCTCTGCCTCTCTCTCTCTCTCTCGCTCGCTCTAGATCTTGCTTTTCCTCTCTCTCTCTCTCACTCTCCCTCCATCTCTCTCATTTTCTCTTTCTCTCTCACTCTCTACTCTCTCTCTCTCTTTCTATCTCTCTCTTACTCTCTATCTCTCTCTTTCTCTCCTCTCTCTTTTTCTTGCTATCTCACTCATACTCTCTTTATCTCTTTTTCTCTCTCTAGCTTGCTCTCTCTTTCTACGTCTCTCTCTTGCTCTTTATTTCTCTCTCCCTCTCTCTCTTGCTCACTCTCTTTCTCTCTCTTTCCCTCTCTCTCTATTGCTCTCTTCTCTCCCTCTCTTACTCCTCTCTCTCTCTTGCTCGTCCTCTGTCTCTCTATCTCTCCCTCTCTCTAGCTCTCCCTCCATCTCTCTCTCTCTCTCTTTCTATCTCTCTCTCCATCTCTCTCCATCTCTCTCTCTATCTTAATCTCCATATTCCCTCTCTCTCTCTTTTCTCTCTCTCTCACTTCCTTTCTCTTTCTCTCTATCTATTTTTCCATCTCTCTCTCTAACTCTTGCTCTTTAACTCTCTCTCTCTCTCTCTCTCTCTCTCTCGCTCTTCCTCTCTCTCTCTCTGTCACTCTTCCTATCTCTCTCTCTCTCTCTTTCTCTTCCTCTCTCACTCTCTCTTGCTTTACCTCCATCTCTCTCTCTATCCTCTCTCTCTCTTGCTATCTCTCTCTTACTAACTTTCTCTCTCTCTCTCTCTCTCTCTCTCTCTCTCTCTTTCTCCCTCCCTTTCTAGTTCTCTCTCTCTCTCTTGCTTGCAATCTCTCACTCTCTTACTCTCTACTCTCTCTCTCATTCTCGGTCTGCGAGATCCTTTCTCGCTAGGGCACTTTTTGGCCGTCGTCACCGGGTGGTGCTCATTGGGGATGGCGTGGGGTGACCTTCGGTCACCCCCACATTACTCGTCGAGAAGCAGCGGCGTGAGGGAGGCTGGAGGGGGTAAGGGATCTGATTCTAGAGCTAGTAGACGGGATGGGAGTAAGGCGTTCGCGGGGAGTTCTGGAGGAGGCGCTGGTTCGGGGAACAGCGGGAGTTCTAGCACGGAGCGTAGGCATTCGGCAGTGGGCTCAAATGGAGCGGGCGATGGGGAGGCCGAGAGGAGACAGCTTGTCTATACTCATTCCCCTGCTAAATAGGCTGCTGCAAGCTTGAGGGGTTGGTAAACTCTGATTTGGTAAGCGAACGCAGGGGCAAGTCTGAAGATGTGTTGTAGGATGCTGCAAGGAGCCGGGGAGGTGTTGTGGGAAGGGAAGAGATGCTATGCCCGCATGAGTCAACTACACCCGGGGAGATGGGGATTGTCTTGTTGCCTCAAATGTTCTGATGGAGGTCGACACGAATGCTAGGAACGTCGACCGGGAGGTGAAGATGCAGGCTCCTGAGGCTGAGCCGGGAAAGATGGAGATAATGGAAGATAGGGAGATGAAGGACTTCCTGCAAGATATTATTGTTAATTTGGGAACATCGACACAGAGTATGTGAGCGGTGTTAGACACTCACGTAGACATGGCTGTAGAGGTTAATCATATGGTGTCGCCTGCGGTAGGAGGGACTGGATCTATGTCTCCTAAGCCTATGGTGGGGGTGAGCTCAATGATGGTCAACCCCATTTTTGAGCATGACAACCAGCCTCGTTTGTTTGGCAATATGGCGAGCAGCATGGGATCAGAGTTGGCCTCTTCGCTCCGCAAAGTTGGTGATGGTGCTATGGCGGTGGACATGGCTGTTCATCGATCGGGTAGTAATGTCCAGAAACTCCATAGAGCACTAGTTGGCTGCCTACTTGGTCGACGGGTTCCTTTCTGGGTTATCTAGAATGAACTTCAACGGAAGTGGGGGCATTTTGGATTAACTCAGATTACTCCCTTAGGGGCTGATTGCTTCCTATATTGGTTCGACGATGTGGAGGCTAGAGACAACGTTTTAATTGGAGGACCATGGTATGTGGCAGGGCAGATCATTGGTGTGGAGCAGCGGTCAGCGGGACTTTCCCCTAATTCTGAGAGGAAGTTCACTTCGCCGGTTTGGATTAGGCTCCCAAACCTACCACTAGAATATTAGGATGAGGCGAATTTAGCAAGGTTGGCTACCGGTGTTGGGGAACCTTAGTTCATGGATGAGCAAACAAAACAGTGGAACAGATGTGCTTTTGCGCGGGTTTGTGTCCGGATGGATCTGTCAAAAAGACTTCCAAAAGGAGTATGGCAACAGAGCTTGAATGGGAAGTTCTTTCAACCAATTGAATATGAGGGGATTCCGGTGATCTGTTTGGAATGTGGCAAGTTTGGCCATAAGGCTGAGGGATGTGAAAGGAAACTTGTGCAGCCTACAGAACATCATTCTAGAATGAGCCGCCGAGTCCGGGAATGAGTCGACACGGTAAGGAAGTTTTACCAAACCGTGATGGGAAGGTGATGCCGAATATTGGTGCTAGTTCTTCGGGGTTGGACCCTAAAGACATAGAAAGTGAGTGTGGAGAATGGACCATTGTGACAAGGAAGAGGAAACCACGCCCGAACATTACTGGAACCAATTCCAAGAATTCTGCTAGGGGGTCAGAAAACCCTGCTGCCACTGCGGCTAACAAAGCTGTCTGGAGGGTGACTTCCATGGATACAAAGTTGGTGGAGTCGCATGCGGCGGGGAAAACTGTGGGGGGAAGGAATCTCGGAGGGTCTAAATGTACAGGATTTGGGGGACTCTAATGACCAGAGTTGTACCACTGCGGTGGGATCAGAGGAATTGCTGATGAAGATTATTGGGGGAGGGTTGCTAAAGGCTAGGGACTCCACGGTTGTGTGCAGGGAATTCCCCGAATTTTCGAGACCCATTGTTGAGGTTGAGGAAGTAAGGCATGTTAAGCAGGTGATGGATGTGAAAGCAATGGGAGATACACAATGTATGACACCGGAAGAAGGAGAACTCGGACCAATTAACAGTGAGAAGCGGCCCTCATTGAGGGTCAGTAGACGGAAGCAGTCCACTAGGGAGGTCAACCCCATTGATTTTCTTGACCGGCCGGTTGTGCCCAGGGTCTTAAGGTTCTCTGATTCAAAAACTAAAGCGTGGAGACCATACAATACTCTAAGCCAAAAGGCTAGGGTGAGTGCTGCTAAGGTGGGATGGGAGACGACAGGGGATAGAGGCATCGGAGAGCTACTGGCCGGGCCTTCCCCCGTCGAGCATTTACCCGAGAGTACTGAGATCATGGATGAGTTGAAAGGAAAGGATGCCATCACTGATAGTTACTCTATTTCCAAGGAGTCTGAGGAGGACTTGGAACAAGGCGGGGACGCTTCCCCTTTGGTGAATCATGCTTAGCCTCCTATGTTGGAATTGTCGTGGTGCGCGTAAGAAGGAAACGGGGTTCTACTTACGGCATCTAATTGGAACCCACAACGTCTGCTCTGTTGGTCAACTGGAGACCAAATTAGATTCTATTGTTCGGAATGATATTGATAAATTGGCTAGAAGAGATTGGGATTTTGAATACCAGCCTTCCATTGGTAGAGCTGGTGGTATTTTGATTTTGTGGAAGAGTAGTGTGTTGTTGTTCCAGGTCTCTAGCAGTGCGAATCAATATGTGATTGGGAAACTCACGATGACGAGTGGAATTGAATGGGATGTGGCGGTTGTGTATGCCCACAAGGATACGTGTATTACACGCTCGATGTGGGATGATATCTCTAGGATCCACAACCGTACCTCTCCCTTGTTGGTTAGGGGGGACTTCAACTGTATCATGGCTCCGAATGAAAAGAAGGGTGGTAGTGCCTTTCACATGTCCCCGGCCGCCTGTGATATGGCTGACTTCATGATGGTAAATGATCTTATTGACCCTTGGTTTGTTGGGCCGGCGTTCACATGGACTAATAATAAAGATGCGGGGAGTAAAATCTTTTCCAGATTGGACAGGTTCATTGTTAGCTCGGACATAATGGATGAGTTTCAGGGGCTGCGGGTCAGGCACCTTTCCAGACTCGTCTCTGACCACTGCCCTATTCTTTGTTCGATCTTTGCGGAGACGAAAATCAATTACTCCCCGTGGTTTCGGTTTGAGGATGTTTGGGTGAACTATCCCAAGGCCCGACAGTTGGTGATGGATAAATGGAATGATGGGGACCATGGCAGCGAAGCGGTTCAACTCCAGAGGAAATATAGTAGAACACTGAAGGCTTTGTTTTTCTGGAGTAGAAACAAATTCAAGATGATAAATAAACAGAAGGATGAGCTGGATAGTGAGATCCAGAAATTACAGGAATTGGACAGAGAGCCGGGCGGTCTGAGTGAAGCACAGAAGGAGAAGCTGAGATTCAATGTGCATCTTTTCAATAGCACTCTGGCCCGCATTTTGATGTGGTGGAAGCAGAGGGCTAAAGTAAGGTGGGTTGAAGAGGGAGACGGTAATACGGGCTTCTTCCACTCTATGACATCGGCACAGAGGAGATCAAAGCGCATTGAGTCCATCAAGCGGGAGGATGGTAGTGAAGCGACGGAGCCAGGGGAGATCACAGATATTTTCTTTCAGTTTTTTAATCAGAAATGGAAGGGGCAGGAATTGTGGAGTCGGGGTGGCCGGCTCTCGATGGCCACCAGAGAAATATTAATCAGTTTTCCGGGTTACTGGATGGAGATGTGTCGGAGGAAGAAATTTTGAAGGCTGTTAACTCACTGGGGTGGAACAAAGCCCCAGGGAAAGAAGGGATAACTGCTTCCTTTTTCAAAGCCTACTGGGATATTGTCGGGGAGTAAGTGACCCGTGCCTGCTTAAAGTTTTTTACTTCTGGCTTTATGGATCCTTCCTGGAAAGAGACGGTGGTTGTTTTAATCCCCAAGGAGCGATCACCCCTCCAAATTCAGACCCATAAGTCTTTGCCAGACTATCTACAAGGTGGTGGCGAAGGTTCTCGTTAACAGGTTAAAGGGGTTGCTGTCGCTAATTATTTAGGAGGAGCAGGCCGCCTTCATTCCTGGGCGTTCTATTACGACACACTGCCTTCTTGGGCAGGAGCTGATCCATAAGTTCAAGGTGTCTAAGGCGGCTAGGGGGTTTTTTCCTTTGAAGGTAGACATGGAACAGGCGTACGATAAGATGAGCTGGAGGACTTCGGAGATTATTTTGGGGCGTTTGGGTATTCCCCCGAGGTTCGGAGCGTGGGTCCTTAGCTGTGTGATGGGTCCGAGATTCTTTATTCTCACCAATGGGAAATTTTCAAACTTGATTAATGCTGAATGCGGCTTTCGGCAAGGGTGCCCGCTGCCACCCTACTTGTTCATCCTCTGTTCCGAGTTACTGTCTGTGCACTTCAAGCAGAACTTCAGGGAGATGGGAGTTCCAATCAGTTTGGGAGGACCTCCTATCTCCCACCTCCTTTATGCTGACGACATTCTCTTTTTTGCAGGTGCATCCTCGGTGAATGTTAGGAAAATTATTTCCATCCTAACTGATTACTACTCGTGGACGGGAACCAGACAAAGTCGACAATTCTTTTCAGCAAACGGACACCGTCGACGACGAAAGACCGGTTGACCAAACTTATGGGTTGCTACAGAGTTGACGAATTTGAGTACATGGGAATTATGTTTGCTATGAGATGGCTTACTAGACTGTATTTTGCCCCGCTTGTCCAAAGAGCACGTGCTCATTCGTTAAGTTGGGCTTTCAGGCATCTCTCCATGGCTGGGCGGGTGACGTTGATTAATTCGGTTTTGTTGCCATCCTCAGTGTTTCTGATGACTCATACCATTATCCCTAAGGCGGTTCTCCACGAGATTGAGAAGATTTGCTGTAGCTTCCTTTGGGATAAAGATTCTGAACATAGGGCATGCATTATGTTTCTTGGAATGAGGTGGCACGTCCAACACGTAAAGGCGGTCTTGGGTTCCATGCCAGCACTAAATCGATTGGGGCACTCCGGGCACGAGTTGCTTGGAATGTCATTGGGAGCCCGACGGGGCTGCTCCAAAGATGCCTCAGCCACAAATATGGGGATGATCTACGAGCGTATGGCACCCCGCGGGGTCATTCGAACAGTTGGAAGGTGATTTGTGATGGCGCCAAGTGCTTGAGTAGTTCGATCCGCTGGAGGATTGGTGACGGTCAGAACATTAGTGTGCCGAGTGATACTTGGCTTTGGGACCGACCCATATCCCCACGTTCTGTGATATCACAGCCATTGACGAACTGCATATTGCCGACTTCCTGCTGGAGGACAGAACATGGGACAGGCCGAAGCTCCTCACATGCTTTGGGGAGAGTTTTATGGATCACATCTGTGAAACACCGATTGATGAAGGGCTGAGCTCGGATTGTATGGAACTGGTTAGGACCCCCCATGGGTTCTACAATCTCGGCCAATGTATACAACATACTGTTTGAGGAAGAGGATGACCCTGTCTGCACGATCTTAAAACTCGGACTGCGATCGCGTATACGCCTGTTCTGGTGGAGAGTTTATATGGACAAGGTTCCTACCAATGGGTGGTTGGTTAGCCGTAAGTTCCAGGTTGACCCACATTTCTGGGTGTGTGGGGATTCTCTATGCCCCGTTTTGTATCCTTTGCTGAGCTTCAGGAGGGGTTGGCACGAAATAAGAACTCCCACGATGACTGGAGGAGGATCTATTGTGGGACAGTGTATAATTGCTGGAGGAATAGGAACTCTTATAAACATGGCAAGGGGTATCTCCCCGCCAAGCATGTTGCTGCAACGGTTATTGAGGTGCTCAATCTAGATTTTTTCTTTCTCACTTCCCCTGGAGAAACGAGATATCTCTCAATCCTCTGTATTGTTATCATCTACTTCATGGTGTCCCCCCTACAGGCTGGTTGAAGATTAATTTAGATGGTGCTCTAAGAAGATCCAATGTCGGTGGGATTGGTATTGTCATTCGGGATGAACGGGGCACCCTTATATCGGCGGCAGGATGGGAGATCAAGCACTGGGACAGCATGCAGGTTGAGCTCATGGCTTTTCGGTACATCAACGAGCTTGTATGTGACTGGATGTTTGAGGAAGATGGAATTTTTATTGAGGGGGACAATGTAAGTGTGATCAGTTCAACAAGGAGAGGGAACGGTTGAAACTCCATAATAGGAATTGTGAGGCGCTCGATTGGATCTCACAATTTTCGAAGATTTTTTTCATGCATACATAAAGGCGCTTCAACAGAGCGGCCCATTTTTGTGCTCAAAGAGCCATAAAAAGTTCATTTTTTTTTTGGGATAGATACAAAGAGTATATTCCTCAAGGTTTTTTTTGTATCCTTGAGGAGGATAGGAGGTCTTCTTTGTTGAACAGGCCGGTTGGCCCTTAGGTTTTTGTTTAGTCTTTTTGTGGTGACTTTGTAACGCCATTTTCTTTGAATGCAAATGCAAAAGTTCAGCTCCCTCTCTTGCTTTTTCTTTCTCTCTCTCTCTCTCTCTCTCTCTCTTGCTCTCTTTCTCTCTCTCTCTCTTTCTCTCACATACACACACACTCTCTCTCTTGATCCTCTCTTTTTCTTCTCTCTCTCTCTCTCTCTCTCTCTCTCTCTTTCAATCTCGCTCGCTCGCTCTTGCTCTTCCTTTCTCTCTCTCTCTCTTCCTTTCTCTCTATCTCTCTCGCTCTCACTCCATCTCTCTCTCTCTCTCATGCTATCTCTCCATCTCTCTCTCTCTCTCTCTCTCTCTCTCTCTCTCTCTCTCTCTCTCTCTCTCTCTCTCCCTCCTCTCTCTCTCTCTCACTCTTGTTATCTCTCTCTTGCAATCTCTCTCACTCCCCAATGGCCACGGTCAGGCATCTTGTTCGAGTCAC